TTCCCTCCCCTCAACATCCAAAGTTCTGCCTGTTCTCAGCCTGAGGGTCTTTTGTTTGTGGAATGAAACTCACTTAAAACTTTCCAAGTACATGGCATTTCGAATGGGCAAAATTCATTTTCATTCATTTTCACACTGAAAGCAATTCCCCTTCAAACTTGGCTTTTAATTAGGAAAGAAATCCTTATGCATTACCAAAATACTCCTTTTTTTTTTTCCCTCTTCTTTTTATTGTCCTTCTCAGTGTGTTATATTGATTATTTTTAGCCAGAAGTTGTAGCGATAAAAGAGGGTTAAGCTTATTAAAGTGCTAAAAATAAAAGCATACTATGAAACCTGAAGGGGTCCATTTTGGTTACTGCCAAGTGGGAGCATTTCAAAATTCTCATTCATGGTTTCACTTTCCTGTCTTTCAAGTGGTTTTACTGAACTTCTGCCTTGTGGAACAGATCCACTGTTGCTACTCTAAAGACTCAGGTGATGGGAGTGATTCCTTGATAAATCAGGGCAAAACCCCCACTCCAGCCAAGGTCACCACAGTAATTTCATATGTATAAGACCCCAACTGCTGGTCATTAGAAGGGTTGATCTCAGGAGACAGGTAAATAGCTGGGGGTTAAAAGATACTCCTTGGAGTCATCGTTGTTTCTGTCTCTGTGTGACAGGCACGTGATAAAATCATATCAAATTGCCTCTAAAGGCTGGTTGGCTCTATTGCCTTCACTGCTCCTATTGCAAGATTGTGGTTTAGATGAAAAATTAGAGATATTTTCTTAAGTCCTTGGTGTATTTATTTGCAACCAGCACCTGCTTTGCTGCAGCCCTGTCCTTCAGTTTACTAAAATGGTGATCACAACCCCGAAAGAGTTTTGCTTTCAAATTGTGCCAGAATTTTCTCATCACAGTGTGAGGACAGAAAATTGTCCTGGGATTCAGTTTCTTTGAGAAATCCCAGACCCAGGGCTGGATTACCATATTTATTTGGGAACAAAGTCACTGTCCCTTCATACCAAAGCCAAAGAGAAAGCAAAAGGCAGATCCTTCCAATAGGTTTTTTCAGTCTACCAAGGGTCCTCCCACTCTTGCCTCTCCATCCCAAAGCAAAATTCCTTGGAAGGAGCCCCAAAGTGGCCAAGGTGAAACTGTGAAGCATCACCAGTTCAGCAAAAATTCACTGAAATAGCTGTCAGTGCCACATTCATCATTGACTTATTAACATAATTAATTTACTGCTTATTTCTTTGTGATTTGGCCCAAATTTTCTTTCCCTCCCTTGCCTGCCTGTGTTAATCAGTAGATCTATCTCATTAAATTGCTTTACATATTTATATCTCATTTTTATGGGTTTTTAGAGCTGTTTTGGTGGGGGGTTTTGTTTGTTTTAATTTTTCCCCTGTGCCTCAGGATTACGACTTGCTTCAAAAATAGAATTTAAATGGGTGGTTTGCTTATTCCAAGGCTGGTATTCCCCCACTGGGAAGGACCAAGTTAGCAGAGGCAGGGCCACCGGGGTCCAGCCTCTCCCTGTAACATCCCATCAGCTCATAAACGACGTGGAACACACGTCCATCCCAGTTGGAAAAGCCTGTGCTGGGAAAACATCGATGATATTTGCAAAACACAGTGCTCAGGATCTGATTATCCCATTCCAGGCAGCACTAAGGGGGCGTTCACAGCGTTTAATTTTATCTAAGGAAGGCAAATCTCCTCAGGCCTCCCTGCAGGCAGCAGAAAGCGTTGGGTTCCTTTGGAGGGCCTTTTAAGGAAGCTAAATTAAGCTGCTTCTGTGATTTCCTCCTGCCCCAAGAGAAGCACAGACAGATTACTCTTGTTTTAGAAGGATATATATCACAAATTTCTCCTCTGTAGCTCCTCTATGCCCGAATGATTAATTTTCTGAGGCCAGTCAGCTTTTAAGAGACACTGAGCAGTGAAGGGTGCCTGCGCTTAGATCCTGGCAAATATTAGGCACTTGCAAGCTCTGTTAATTTGTTTAGGCAGTTGGTAAGATGTTTGGCACACTTCCCACACCCCTCCCAAACTTCCCAAATCCATCCCTTCCAAACCCCACCAAAAATTATGTTTAAACATGTAAGTTCTTTCCTACATAAAGTTCTGTTTTGTGGCCCAAAGCCATGGCCAGACTTTGTGCTTTTGACATTACCAAGTGTTCCATCAGAGTGTATTTTTAATTTTGGATGGAGAGGGACTTTTTACAAGAGCACACAGTGATGGGACAGGCTGAAATCTGTCGGACATATTTCAAAAAAACACCTAGTTTTTCATGCACACCTCTTCATGGTAGTAGACCTCGGGGCAATTCCGAGCACAAGGACAGGCTGTGCGGAGAATGGATCAAGACCAGCCCTGGGGAGAAAGACTTGGAGGTGTTTGTGGACAAAAAAAGCTCCACGTGACCCAGCAATGTGCACTCACAGCCCAGAAAGCCACTTGTGTCCTGGGCTGCATCAAAGGCGGAGTGGGTAGCAGGTTGAGGGAGGGGATTCTCCCCCTCTACTCTGCTCTTGTGAGACCCCACCTGCAGTACTGCTGCACAGGAAAGACATGGACCTGTTGGAATGAGTCCAGAGGAGGCCACCAGGATGATCCCAGGGCTGGAGCACCTCTCCTGGGAAGATGGGCTGAGAGAGCTGAGGATGTTCAGCTGGAGAAGAGAAACTTCCAGTACATCAAGGGGACTTACAAGAAGGCTGGAGAGGGACTTTTGCAAGGTCAGGTAGTGATAGGACAAGGGAAATGGCTTTAAGTTAAAGAGTAGATGTACATTAGATATTAGGAAGAAATTCTTCCCTGGGAGGGTGGGGAGGCCCTGGCACAGGTTGCCCAGAGAAGCTGTGGCTGTCCCATCCCTGAGAGGGTTCCAGATCAGGTTGGACGTGGCTTGGAGCAACCTGGGCTAGTGGAAGGTGTCCCTGCCCATGGCAGGGGGTTGGAACTGGATGATCTCTAAGGTCCCTTCCAACACAAACAATTCCATGATTCCATGACCCTGTACCATTTGTGATTTTGTTCATCATTTTAATAATTCAGAACATCTTTTGTTTGGGTTTTTTGTTTGTTTGTTTGACTCTTTGATTGGTTTTTTTTTGTTTGGTTGGTTTGGTTTGGTTTTGCTGGCACTGGAAAGAAAAATCAGACGCTTTCCTAGAAATGCCTTCAGCTCAGTGCAATAGTGGAAGCTTTTCAAGGCTGTCACCCTGGGTGTGCACATGTGTGGATGTAGCTCTTCCAAGGCACTGTAGAAGACGATTTTAATATCTTCATAGACAGAGGATGAATTCCTTAGAGGCCTTTTGATCCCTTCCCACTGAATCCTGACTGTGAGGAAAGCACTCGCACAGAGGTCAGTGATGCCAACCAAGACCATGTTGGTAAAATCTTAATAAAAGTGTTTTTAGAAGCACTGGATATAGCAAATAAAGTGATGTTAAATCGATCTATAAAAGGGTATGACCACATAGATTTTTTTTTTTTGTGCACTACAGTGTACATAATCTAAAATAAAAGGATCAGGAAACCATCTCTCCCAGGTGTCATAAAAGACTTTTATCAGATTTCCAAGTGTTAGGAATAAATTTGTTAATTCTAGGTTTCTGTTGATTTGCTGGGGTTTTGCTGCTTTTCTCCTTTTTTCTTTTCTTTGCTTTATTTGTTTGAGGGATTTTTATTTTATTTTGAGTTATCACAAATGCATAATTACATTAACAGACTTTAACATTGTTTGAGTCAAAATTGTCAAAACCTGAATGGAACCATTTTCCTCAGTTTATCTGCAAACCCTCATTTCTTTGTCCATCACAAAAGTGACCACATTAATTCATGTTCTTTCCATTAGAACCAAAGAATAAATTACTTGAATCTTTTGTAGCATGTCTTAATTCAACTCCTAATGCCATTAATTGAATAGTTTTAGTTAGTTTTATTAAGGATTGGAGTTTATTTTCAAATTTCTACCTGTGGGTTGAGTTCCTCCTGATCAAGTTCATGTACTCCATGGTGTATTTTCTGCTCAAAACCCCTCAGAAGCAGACCCAGGGCACACACTCTTCCACTGTGGCCAGAAATTATTGGCTGCACTTCTCTCAGGGGACAAAGTGGTTAAGATTTCCAAGACTTCTGCTGGAAACACAAGCCCTTTTTTGCAGATTTTATACCACAGGTGTCTTGCTTCCTAAGCACAGCTGGGAGTCCAAGTTCCTGTTTGGTTTTGGTGGCAGTGGGGGGCTGTGGGCTGCAATGCTCAATGATAATCATTCTTTTCCCATCTCATTTTGATTCCTCGTGGTTCCTCCAGCTTCCCCACTGCCAGGCCTAGCGATGTAGGGTGAGATTTTTCTGCCCCACTTTTAGGCAATGTGTCTCAATCTGAGCCATCTATACAGACCTCCCTTGCAGCTTAGGAACGTGGTCCAGGAGTTTGGGTTGTGAATTGTTTAATCTGATCAACCACTGTTGTTTGGGATGAATTGCACACCAGAGATTTGCTTTCTGTGGACTGGGATATTGCCCAAGGTGACCTGATCAAGTTCCAGACACCTGGGGATGGTCAATAACCCACGTGTGCCCAGAGAAATCTTACCCTCAGCTATAATATTGATGTAATTCCAGGTACAATCTGCCTTGTCCCTTCTCTAATTTAATCTAGTACATTTTTCAGGCTTGAGCTGCTTTCCTTTGAACTCCCTTTTGTTCTTTCCATGGATTTCAGAAGGAATGGGATGAGAGGTAACCTCCATCCTGCCAGGGGACACATGGAGAGCTGTCAGTCCTCCTGTCCTCCTGATGGGTTGGGTGTTCACCAAAATGTGTGTGTGTCCCTACTTCCCTGCAGTGCTGCAGTTCCCAAACAAGAGGCTGCTCCTCCCCTTATGCCCAGGAGCTGAATTGCTGAATTGCTGAATTGCTGAATTGCTGCTGGTATAAAGCCTTTGCTTTAGGTTTGTACCCTGTTCTTATCTTCTGTTATCTTAATTTTGCAGATAGCATTGAAGCCAACATTGAGACGGCGTCTTCTAACGTAGACTCGGCCAACGAGCAGTTGGCAAAAGCCAGTCAGCACCAAGTAAGTGGGTCTAAAAAAAGCCCCTGTGGATACTTTCAGTAATAATATTTAAATCAGTATTTTATATAGATATGTATATATGTCAGTAATAATATTTAAAATAAAGAGAGCACTTGGCAGCTGTGAACCACACGGGTCTGTGCTACCTGGAAAGATGATAAAGCATATTCTAAGTAAGAGCTAAACTTTTTATATGTGTATAAATATATAGGATTAAATTACAGTAGCACAGACAATTTGACTTTAGAGTGGTCATTAGGAGATCTGCATATTAAACAGGCGTTTCCCAGTAGGAAAGTCAACAATTAGCTGCTGTTGTTCTTGGAAAGATGTCATAAAAAGCACATCGTTTCAGTCTAGATGTGCTTCTGTTTGGAGTGTTTCCCTATAATCAGGCAACAGTCCTTTACAAAAACAACTGAGTTGTCAAACAGCATGATGTGGTTGGAGAATAATGGCTGTGGGGATGGTGTTCAGCACTTTTTAAAGGCAATTTTAAGGGGTTTTTTTTGTGAAGAATTTTTTTTATTTCATTGGAGCAAGAATGAAACACACCCACAAACATTAATCTTTTTGAAAATGACTTGACCAGAAAGAACCCTTGGATGGTTATAGTTAGTGCTTTATAGGGATAAAAGGGGGTGGGGGAGTGAACAAAGAAAAAAAATGTTATTGCCTGGATTGGACTGATGGAACCAAAACTGTGAGTTTCCTTTTTTCCTCAACCATCAGTTGGTGATTTTCATGTATGTGGAGTCTTGTTTTGACAAAATATAGCTGAGGTCCATGAGAGTACACAGTGCCTCCTTGTTGGTCCTTGGATACATTTCTGAAGGTCTGGGGCAAACCTCTGGACCAAAGGAGTGGGAACCAAAGGCATTTGATGTAAAGGAGTAACTTGATTTTAAAATTATCCACAGCTCATTTTCTAGTGAAATGCATTCTGCAAATTGTGTGTGATAAGAGCAACTTTGTAGAACTTTGATATTGCAGAAAGTAAGTGTGGTCTTCAGCTCCATTTTGGTTTTAAATGCATATATATTCAAGATAATGTGTGTCACCCTGAATGTAATCCTGCATTTACTTTGAAAATAACTTGTTATGTACCACATGAAGTTTAAAATGAGACCAGAATGAATTGACCTGACTGTAGAGCTGATCGCAGAGCTGCAAATGACTTAATGATGACTTTGGCTAAGAAGGTCAAAGAGTAGTCAGGCAGAAAATGAAAGCAGCACAGTCTAAAGGAGCTGCTTTCTTCAGCCAGCAGGAGATGCTGAAATAGCTTGCCCAGTTAGGAGGCCCTTTATTCCTCAGATGTGTTGATCAAAGTGAAGATAAAACCAGTTTTAGTGAGTCAACCCCTGCTAAGGGCATAAATATGTACTGGCTGGTATGTGTGGAAAAACACTTCAGAGTCTGTCTTGCTCTTGAAACAAGCCCATGTAGACAAACATCACTTGGGAAAATTCAGCTGCTAAAGAAAATGTGCAATCCAGACCTCCTGTAGAGAACAGGTAAGTGCCCTGTACACTACTGGGTGAGGATCAAAACCTGTAAACTCGGTTCGCTCTCTGTCACCTCTTTCATGAGGTTCCCTGAGATGAGAACACAAAAGGAGGTGAAGCTTTTGTGGCTTCAATTCCTGCCCTGCTGCCTGGGGTTGGTCAAACTGCCTGTGATGCCTCATCTTTTATGTGCCACCATATCTGCTCATCTCACATCCAAAAGGACACTCCCCACAGGGCCCTGATCTCACAGCCCTCAAGAGCTTCTGTGGGAATTCATGTTGATGCCACTTGCACCCCTGTGGATGGTGCAGTGTGAGCACAGGTCACCCTTCTGAGTGGTGTGTCTGCTTTTGGCTGCCTTAGAAATATCTAGGATGGGTTTGGGGGAATGATCTGCCAGATGGCCCTGTGGGTGAACTGCTTTTAAGGGACCTGCCACAGCTTTCCACACTGGAAATTCCCCCTGGACTCGTCAGGGATCAAAAGCACAGGCTGTTTTTTCAAATCTTACTGAGTTTTTCTTCTTTTGTTGAACTACTAATTCATTAGTATATTTAGCTGTTACTTATGCTACAGTGTGATTATCCTGTAAATGCAGCCTGGCTGACATACATTTGTTATTTATTCCTATTTATATGTATAAAAATGTGTGTATGTGTAAGTAGTATTTTTGTGAGTCTATCAACAAATATATACATAAATGGAGAAATCAGAAATGTCAACACTGCTGAAACATTTAAGCTTAAGACCTGCTGTAGACCTTAATGAAGGGATCTCTGCCAGGAGTAAAGATTAAGTGGCTGGTTATTTAACATAATTTTTGCAGTCACTCCAACAATACAACTTGGAGCACCGGTCCCAACCTGTACATTATTGTAACAAAGCATCAGTAAATAGTTTTCCTTAACTAGTACAAAATAAGACATTTAGGTTTCCTGAAAGGATGGAAATGTTTAAATATATGTCAGGATCTTCTTGCTGAGTACCTTTCTTCTGTGTGCTAACAGTAGTGATTTATTACTTCATTATTTATTGGTTTAAACTCCAAAAGGTTTAGTGGGAGCTGTGAAAGCTTTGGAATATTTTTTTATTAATTATTATTATTAGCAGATTTTTTTCCTTAATTTTAAATTATCATCACAGAATAGTTGTCTGTGATTAAACTTAATTTTACTACAGTAACAGTTAATCTGGGCCACTGCATTATCTGTAGGAACACACAGGGTCAAAATGCAGATTAAAGAATAAGTGCTGGATACTGATACCAGGAGCAGAGGCAGCAAAGTCCTTTTTCCATATGAAAACCCTTTTGGTCACAGAAATGTGACAATTTGACTTTGCTGTCCTACATCCACTGGAAAATTTGAGTTTGAGAAATGACTGAGAAGCAAACAAATCTGGCAGGGAGAAGGCAGGAGAAATAATCTCCTGCACTGGACTTGCTTCGGTGCCTTTCCTTTCAGTGAGGGTCTCATATCCCCTGGGCCCTGAGCAGAAATGGTGAACCTTTCTATTAAATCCCAATGGCCCAGATTTGTCTCTTGAAATTTCCCTGTCCAGTGCCCCAAAGGAAATGATTCATCCCACACATCTTAAACCACCAATTTTAACATGGGTCAAATTACTTCTCTGGGAGATAGGGATTTGTGGGGCTAGGGATGAGTGTGTTTGGTGGAGAAATGTGTGTCCAAGTGTCTGAACTGCCTTTACCAGGAGGAGGAATTGCTTTTAGCTCATGACTTGTCTCATGTCACAGGAGATGTCTGACATAGATAGGTCTGATGGCTGCTGCTTTGGACATTCTGCTCTCTCCTTTGTCTAAAAAGTGCAAATTATATTAATTCCACTACAAATATTTCAAAGGAAAATGGACCCTGTGCCTATCACCTACCTCTTTATTGGAAAAAAAGGGAATATCTAGACACCCAACAGTCTCAGTACCTGCCTTTGAGGTTAGTTTAGGTGGGCTGAAGATGACACTAAAGGAGATGAGCAGTTTCACTTTGCTCTGGTGTCTCAAAACTTCCTGCACGTGGATTGAGAGGAAGAAAAAGAAACCAGTTCAGACTCCATGGATAATTATTAAACCAGTTACATTTTTTTATGCGAAGTTTGGCCTAAATTCAGCTTGGCCACACTGACTGAAGGACTCTGTGCTGGCTGTTGAAGCTAATTTGTTTTGGAAGAGCTGCCTGTGTTGCTCTGATTAATGCTGGGTGCTTTCCCTCCCTATATCTGTGGAAGTCAAGCTGATTTGTATTCCTTGGCATGGCAAAGGCAGACAGCAGTTCAGTGACCCAGTTGTGTGGTCTAAGAACAATTAGGGTTTTTTTTCCTGTAAAGAAGCAGTTTGCAGGTCTGGCTTTCATGGATGCACAGAGGGGCACTTTGAAGGCTGGAGTTTTAAGGAAAAAAGCCTTATAAATCTGTGACATTTGCAGGGATCTTATCTCCTGGGGACCACCAAGAAAGGACTGGCTTCAGTTTTTGCACAAATAACTCACTGGTGTTTTAAAAAACAAAAGAAAATTTGAGTTCCAAAAATCACCTTCTCACAGTCTTCGAAATTTTCTGGCATTGTAGCCTCTCAAAGCACTTGTTATAAATATTGTGATAATGAAAATTTTCTTCTCCTTTTTGCAGTGGATATGCCCTAAGACCATGTCTTTCACTGCCATTAAATTGTTTGAAAGCCTACTTTTAAAATTAACAGCCAATTAACACCACAATAGGATGGGATTGCACCCTGGCATGTGCAGGAGTCATCCAACGTGTTGCAAAGCTGTGGTGGAACGATGTGATTGGAATATCTTGGTGCAAATGCAGCTGGCTTCAAGAAACACAATGAGGTGCTGGAGCATGTCCTGAAAGGGTTGCCAAACATTGGAACAGTCTGCCCAGAGAGGTGGTGGAGTCACCATACCTGGTGAGAGGTGTAATGACAGTCTAAGGTGCAGCTCATACAACCCTCCTCATGTTGCTGTTGCTTATCTGTGTCTGTCACCACTGACAACGTGGCTGAGTTTGCTCCTTCTTTGGATAATTAGCTCTTGGAAGTTTTATCTGGGGGGGATCATGAAGCTATTCTTTCTTCTGGCAGTTTCTGCCTGTGAGAGTGGTGGGAGCTGAATTAAAGCTGCAACAGGAACCCAGAGCTCTGTAAGGACTCCAAGCAAAAGCCATCACTGAAGTGACTGTTTAGTTCCACGACTGAGCCTTAATCCCCCTCTTCAGCAGCAAAAGGAAACTTTGCTGCCATCCAGAGTCCTCCTGATTCTGTACCATGAACTCCAGTTGGGAAAAGAAGACCCACCCAAATTGCTTGAACCTCTCAAAACCCAACCAACTTGCAGACCCTTTCGTTGTGTTTCTCAGCAACACACCAGCTCAGCTCAGGGGCATCTCTGTGTGCTTCCCCCTCAGATGGAATTTTTCAACTTCAAAGCAATTTCTCCTCCATAGCACTGGTTTTTATCCTCTCCCCCCTCC